ACTCAGTTAGAAGGTTCTACATAATATACCCCCCCGTCCCATGTTTACTTGACTTTTAACATTATAGATTGATTAGTGAAAGAAAGTAAAAAGAAGAGTAAGGAGTTAGTGTTTCAAGAAAGTTTCAATTATGAATGCGTTAATGCATATGTACTTGACGTTCTTGTTAAAACGTATCGTTGACGCTGAATTATAACTGTAGAAATATATGTAGCGGATAATAATTCTTCTATCAATCTCTCTCTCGCTCTCTCGCTCTCATACAACTGTACATCGGTATATATTTAGAATAAGATGATTAAATGAACATTTTTTCAATATGACAAAAAATAAAAGGGCAAATTTTATACATAAAAATTTTTCTCGCTTTGGTATATATTATTTACTAGCCTTGGAAATATGCAAAAAAGAAAACATGTGCAGCAACATATCTTTTAAGTCAAACATTCAATTAATTTAACCTATATATATATATATATATATATATATATATATGTAGAGGTGTATGTACGATATAAATTCAAATTTAATGATTATTTCAGTACTTCGGGTGATTCCCTATACGAAATATTAGGACTTCCTAAAACAGCAACCGCTGAAGATATTAAAAAGACTTATAGAAAACTTGCTTTAAAGTACCATCCAGATAAAAATCCCGACAATGCTGAAGCTGCCGAAAAAGTAAATATATTTTTTTTTTGTTTGGGCATCTATGTAATCAAAACATATAACAGTCGTACTATCTTAGTACGAAAATGTATGCAAATAAAAGAATTTTTAAGAATGTTTCTTGTAACATATTTATTTTTGAGAAGTAAGAGAGATACCAGAGCTACTTCTCAAACAACAATTATACTGTTATATAATTTGATTGCATACGCAAAAACAATTGCTTTTGCAATGCATATAAGAATATAAATAAAATGTTAATAATTTCAGTTCAAGGAAGTCAACCGAGCGCATTCGATATTAAGCGATCAAACAAAGCGTAATATTTATGACAATTACGGTTCACTCGGTTTGTATATAGCTGAACAATTTGGCGAAGAAAATGTCAATGCATACTTTGTAGTAACATCACCAGCAGTTAGAGTAATGCTCAAATTAATAATTATATATTCATCTTTTTCATTTCGATATGATTTTCATTTATAATTGTTTCGATATTCTTTGAATTTTTTGCAGGCGTTAGTTATTTGTTGTACATTATTGACCGGCTGTTGTTGCTGTTGCTGCTGCTGTTGTTGCTGCAACTTTTGCTGTGGAAAGTTTAAACCACCAGTCAACGAATCACATGATCAGTATTCACATTTAAATGTACGTAAAAATTCTCGCCATAATCTAATTATTTCAAGCATTTTATAAGTTAACGATCTGTGTAGAAAGAAAGAAACAAGAAAATCAGTGCTATTATTTATTTATTTTTTTTTTGTTTTTTTCAAAGTATTTTTGTTTCTTACGTACGTTGCCATCAATAATTCAAACTAAATTCAATTAATATTGAATTCATAATCTTACGAAATGCGTGTGACGTTCGTTTATTAATATACAAACTCATTTTGAAAAAACCAGGCTACTGCTACCTACCTATCTACCTACTATTACTGGTTATCATCTGACAAAGATTTCAAGAGAGAGATAGATTTCAGAGGATGTAGAATATCTTTCAGAATTATCTCAAAATTCGAAAAGCTTTGCTGCACTCTACTTTATTAATAGATGCAGTAATGCTGCCGAATTTTTCCTTTTTATCATCAGAGCATGTACGCGTACGTAATACTTGGATAGAACATAAGTTTGTTGAAATTGATTTAAAACAAAAAAAAAAAAAAAAAAAAAAAGTATACAAGGATCCTTAATTTGTCAATTAGGCCGTTGTTGCACACGTTCAAACGTGCTTGATCCATAATATTTGTTTAATAAAATAATTTTGAAAAAACCGACAATTATTAGATATTTTTGTGATCGGCCTCTTATCTTGATCTGCAATTATAACAATTTTCTTAGAAACTACTTCTAAGTGGATACGAAAGCTAATTAGATGGCCTAGCATAGTGTTTAATGTAGTCATCAGATAGAGTAAGGAGAGAATTGAATATAGTTTTTGAATTCTCGGATGTTGAACAAATCGAAAGATAATGTGTTGTGTTTTTTCGAAATGGGTTTGTTACCTACAGTTATCTGCGTTCATATTATGTAAATTCGAAAGATCAAGTGCTTCCAGCTAAATAAATGTTGTGTTCAAGCATCGCCTTTGAAAAAGCATACTTTCATTTATAAAGTCACCTTAAGTTGTTCCGTTGGTGAAGGTTTTTTTTTTTTTTTTTTTTTTTGTTTTCTAATATACTATAAAAAAAGCTTTCTTCGTGTTGATGATTTTTGTGGAGCTAATTGAAATTCTTCTATATATTTTCTATGCATGATTTATTTAAAAAAAAAAAAAAAAATTTTTAATGTATACATTTTTTGTAAAAAACTGTTTCGATCTCTATAAAAGGTAAGTACAAAATCTATCATACAGCTGTAATCAAGTGTTATATTTTGTACCAAAGCAACTGAGATGAAGTTATACATTTTGTTTTTGTGCATTAAAAGGTAAAGTCATTTTTATCGCTTTTTTTATTTATTTTTTTTATTTATTATTATTTTTTTTCTTTTTAATGTAGGGCTTCTTTTATTTTTTTTTTCGGCTATGTACATAAGGAACATGCATGTTAATAAATCTTTATTTGTTGATCTTTTTGTTTTATATACACACATGGATTATATATATAAAAATCAATTTTCACTTGCATTGTTATGAATATTATCTTCACGAAAATCATCATCAAATGCTTATTAATTTTCAATAATGTGTACATTAATACTTACATACATTCTTTCATAACATATCATATTTCGCTTAAATCAAAATGAAATGAAAGGAAATATTAATAATAATAACAATAATAATATAAAGGATTGTAATTGTAATTTTTATTTGCAGTAACTATTATAAAAATATATAATATATATAATATATATAAATATATATAATATATAATATGTATAAATATATATAAATATATATAATATATAATATATATATAAATATATATATATATATATAAAGGAAGAGATGCTTAGCCCTTTTCTACGAAGCCAGGATTACGCACGGCAATTAGTATTGAGCACAATTTCAATACAAATGTACATAAAAGGATACATTTTATTTCATTTTTGAATTTAATCAAAAGTTTCTATTAACAAAAGTTTTAGTAGCCTTGCGATGGGTTTCTATGCAGATTATATAGCACTAGGCAAAAAAGAAATGAACCAAGTTTAAGGTACAGCGCCAAAAAAATATGAACGTTTTCTAAAAATTTTGGCTATATACCATTTTTGCTACAAGGCTATATTAAAATTGTGTGGATGCGTATAATGGTTAGAGATGCTTGAGATGCTTTTATCACTTATTGAATCGATTCATGCTTGTCTGCCCGGTTACCTGTCCTGTTCTCTTGTGTTTAATTTACAGGATATAACTTTTGCGATATTTCGATCAAATTTGATACACAGACATGTTTTGGCGCGAAGACGAACACTATTGAAAATGGTTCGAATCGGATCACTTTTTCGATCACTTCCCATGTACCACCTTATTTTGAATAATCGTTTTATGAATAATTGGAGGGTGTTGTAGGGCATTGAATGGTCGGTCGTGGCTCACTGCAATGTTTTCGCTTGTTTTCAAATGCATTTAAATATACTTTTCAATGGGTAACAATAAACTACATTTCGATTGGATCTGATTCGCTGTTGTGAAGGTAGAAACGCTTTCTCACCTATTGTTAACCTAAACTTCTTTGTTCTTTATAGATAATAAAAAAACATACGTTAACCTTAACAAAGGTAAAACTTGTAAATTAATATACAATCTTCACAATCTCCAGAAACAAACGGTTTCGCCAAATTAATTCCATTCAATCCAATTTTTTGCTTTTAACTAATTTCATAAATAAAAAAATACGAACATGACGGACAACAAAAAAAGAAAAAAAAAAACAAGAGAAACATATTGTTTTAGGACATTAGATGACAAAAGTGAGCAATTTTTTTAATTCTCATCTGCTTTAGTATTGAATTACCAAAGCTTTCTTTTGCTATAGCTTATGAGTAATTAGCAGAAAATAGATTTTTCCTTCCCCATTAAAAAAGGAAGATGTTCTTAGTTTACGCGATGCTGTGAGCATGTGCCCTTCGACCGATTTGGCACGTTTTCAATACCAGCCTGCCTGCACGAATTTGCAAAGGTTCTGGCAAATTTGATTAGCTTCGATAACTTCATTTTTGCGATCGGGAAAATGATTACAACAGACGGACAGATGGACATGCTTAAATCGATTTAGAATTTGTTGCTAATCAAGAATACATATATTTTGTGCAGTCTCCGATGCTTTCTTCTCTGGGCGTTGTAAATGCTTTGACAATATGAATATACCTCTCATCCTTGAATGATGAGTATAAAAATAATTAATCAAAAATATTTACAAACTTTATTTTTTCTTATATATTAGGTGTTACAAGTACTGAGATATAAAAATCAATCAATTTGCAACGGATAGCAATCGAAAGCTATATCTACCCATTCCCGAGCACCTTTGCTCGTTAAGCCTTTCGTATTAAAATTGAATTAAACGCTTCAATATGCTTACAAATATTATAATATATAAAAAAAAAATTGACCTCTTAGCTAAATACGGTAACAATAAATAGCAAAGCTAATCACTATAATTTTAGACATATCGAAGCTAAGAAGCATTTTTAATTCAATATAATTCTCTTTTGAAACAACTATGATCAAAATGTCGGCCATCGCCACAAGAATTGGAATGTTTTTCTTATATATTTGCTGTAGACAGAGAATAACATCGAGAGATGCCATGCTTGAAATAAGGCGAAAAAAGGAAATAAAGATGTAATAGGTTAACGGTAGGCGTGTAAGTCAGTGTAAATAAAGCATAGTAAAGCTATTTTTAGGTAACTTGTTATATAGCGATCGCCAAGTGATGCGGGATATATTCATTGTGTATTGAAAACAAGCAATTTCAGGTTAATAGGGAGAGTAAGAGGAAGAGAGCTAGTCATTATATATTGAATATAAATTTAAACTTTAAGTTAAGATAACTAACCGATCCCTATATTTTTGTTTGCATAGGAGTTTTTCGATGAAATCACATCTATTAGGAAATCAATTAAGAAGAAAGGGACGTAAACCATAATAATTATTTCCTTCACAAGTATTAAAAATTAATTAAATTTGTCATATCAAACAGTTGCTGCAAATAAAAATTGTTGCAAATAGATCGCAATAATGTAACGAAAAGTACCCGGAAAAAGTTTACTACGCGATTGCAACGTTCAATAACGACTTTAAAGCAAATTCAAAGCAAAGGAATAAATTGGTTTTAAATGGTTTTTTTTTTCGTACAAAGAGTTAGATTAATACGTTAAAAAGGCGAATAAATTTATTTGATTTCTCTTGTTTTCTTATTTCTTTGCAATTTTACACAAATTATGCAAATGTTTTCTTTTCTTAGTTTGTTTTTTTTTTTTTTTGGTTTTTTTTGGTTTTTTTGTTTTTTTAAATCAAAAAATCACCTTCGTTTCTTAGTTTGTGTTAAATATTTAAACAAAAAATTCCTTAAAATTTTTGTTTATTTTTTGTTTAAACATTCAGCGTGATGGTGAAAATAGAGACGCTAGTCAACGTCCCCGTAATATGGGTCAGCCCGACCGACTTGTAAGTACTCATTTTAATCATCCACTATCGTAACACTATTGCCTTTTCACTCGTTTTTTTAAAAAAAATTTTTTGGTTTCTTGCGTAATATATAGTAATATTTGCAATCACGCAATAATTCCATTTACTTTGCATGGGAGCTTACAAAATATTAACCTTCATGATAAAGACGATATATGTATATATATGTATATATGTGTATATATATATACATATATATATGTATATATGTGTATATATATATACATATATATAGGTATGTATATGTATACACATATATATATATGTATTATAAAATTAATAATTTATTCTGGAGTTTTCAGTTTTTATTGTTTTTTAACAGGGAAACAAGCAATCAAAATATATCGAGTAATAAATAATTAATGATGTGTTATATTAAATATGCATTTTATACATATATAATTATATATTTTTGTAATAACTTTTTTCTTGTGTTATACTTACTTATCAATAAATTTGTTATTATATAATATAATTTACACAATACATATTTATACAATTATATACAATTGAAAAAAAGAAAAAAAATATATTTACGTATATATATGAAATATCGAGGTATATAAAATCGATGTTCACATATTCTTAGATGTCTTCAAAGGTATATGTATATGTCTCTCTCTCTCTTTCTCTCTCTCTCTCTTAAAAAGGAGCGGGGCCACCAACAAACTCACTATGTAATGTCCATCCCATCCGACATAAACATTCCGTTTTAGATTAAATTAAAATTCTAATACTTGTAAAGAGTAAGATTATTTATTTTTTTTTTTTTTTTTTTAAAGAACTGAACGTGAAATTATCAATCCAGCCTTACAAATTAGAAAGCATTCAAAGTGCGAAAGGATTTATTTCGATAAAGTTTGCGTAAAGTTTGTCAAAGGCCTTCGTTTAACATTCGATAGGCAGGTGGAAGTGAAATCCTCATTCGCTAAGAGTCGCTCGCTAAGACTGACTCACTTATAAATCATTTGTTAACTGGAATACTATATTTTTATAAAATTAAAAGATATTTCTCTATTTTCCATGTAAAGGTGCACTTGCGCAGAAACGAAAATTTTTATTAATTATTTATTTATCATAAACAAAAGAAAAGGAGAGAAGCGTAATGTAATGTAATTAATTACTTGCGCAACAAGCATTGCTTTATTTTAGCCAATAGAGAATGATATGACCATAAAATAATTATACTTAAGTATAAAAATCCTATGTAAATATAATATATATAATAATATATAATAATATATATATATAATATATATATATATATTTATAGAGATATTAAAGATACCACGATACGATTTTGTAATATTCATTTTCATTGTTATGATTTTAGGAGGAAGTCGATTTAGATGAGCCATCACTAACACAACCTGCTGCCAACCAGGCTAATAATGCGAACAATACGGCCGGACAACCGGTCTTTGCTATGCCACCACCACAACCACCAGCAACCGGTGTTAATCCATTTACCGGTGCCCCAGTGGCGGCCGCCACAGAACAAACCTCATTAAACACCACAGAGCAAACCACTTATACACCAGGTATATAAAAACCATAAACTAGAAAAATGAAGAGTAAAACACAATTATTAAAAAATAAAAAATATATATTTATATATATATATATAAAAACAAAGAAACAACAATAATAATAACAAGTAAGAAAATTAAATTAAATTCGGTCGGGATCGAATCTTCTATACCCGTCACCGGTTACCCCAAAAAAAGACAAAAAAATTAAAAGAACAAAATTCTCAAGCTCTATAATATGGAGTGGACGCAGTTGATTTCAAAATAAAAGTTTTTGTTATACAGACATTTGGGCGATGTAGGCGTGTCCACGGAAAGTTTTACACCAATTCCAAATTCTTTCGCGATATCATCATTTTTACTAACGGGAAAATGTTTACCACAAATACTACAGACAGACAGATGAACCGACGGACATGTTTAGGTGCATTCAAGATTTGTAACTGTCTAAGAATTTTTATACTTTATAGTGGTTTTGAAACTTGGTTCTCCGCATTATAAAGATATTGAAAAAACAATCAAATTGTAAGACGCTATAATATTGGATAGACGTTTTTAAATTTTTTTTCATGTTTGGGTACAATTGTTGCAGCATTGCCCATAGAATATGCGTTCAAATTTTTGTACATTTATTTGCCATTGTTTGTGAGTAATGAGCAAAAAATCAATTTTTCATTCCTTTTGAAAAGCAGAAGTCTTCTCAGTTTACGTGATGCTGTGGGCGTGTCCTTCGACCGATATGACCCATTTTCAATACGAACCTGCCTGCAAGAACTTCCACTGTTCCAGGAGAATGTTTACAACAGACATTACACAGACGTACAGATGGACATGCTTAAATCTTTCTAAGATCTGATGCTAATCAGGGGGGGGGCGGGGGCCCCCCCTCTCTGATGCTTCCTTCTGGGCGTTGCAAACATTTTGATAAAATGAATACACCTCTCATCTTACGGTGATGGGTATAAAAATAATAGCACTGATGTTATCAACAGGTAACATTGTTATAGCATACACTTTAACCAAGGAAATATTTAAAGATAATTTAAATCTGTCAAGAATAAATCCACGAACAGAAAACCAAACATCTGAAGACAAAAACCATAAAATGTTATTTAAAGTATTGTGTATTTAATTTAAAAAAAAAAAAAAAAAAAAAAAACTAAAACCAAAAAGGAATGGAAAAACAATTTAAAAATACTTATTAATATTTTTGCATTATTATTGAAAAGTTTGAAATCTAATATGACACATAAAAATAATTTAAAAAAAAATAATAATAATAATTTAGAAACAAAAAAAAAATCAAAAAAAAATGAATTTCTGTAATTACCTTTAAAAAAAAACAACAACAACAACAAAAACAACACGACGACTACCAAGAATTCCTTAAGTTCTTTATTTAAAACTGATTTTTTCGTAAGAAGAAGAAGATAGACGGTAACCTATGTATAGACAACTAATATATTTTTTTTCATTTTTGTAATCGTTAAAATTCCGCAATGATTCATTATTCATTCCTTCGTACATATAATTCCATGGGAGAAACGCATCAACGTCTTATATGGTATCGATTATCGAAACATAAGAGCGAAAGATGAAATGGACGAACATTTATGAATATGTTATCTAAACTCCGAACATTTCCAAATCCATATTTTCAATATATTGTATCTGGGAACAAACAATTGACAGAAAGCAATTTTGACATGAGTGAAAGGTGAACGACGAATAATGAGGAAAACGTCATAAATAAAAGCCTAATAACGGCGCCTTGGGATAATAATGAAAAATGAGATTTGCGTAGGGCATTAGCAGTTAATCGATTGGAATAGTTTTCTTTCATTTTCTTTCAAATTGAAAAAATTTCTATTTTCATTCTTCATTAGATTAGAGTCACATTTCGCATATTCATATATATTGTGTTCCATTTTACGATTATTTCGTCATTTAATCTCTAGTTTCCACCTAACTTTTTTAAAATTCTTTTGCAGATTATCAACGTTAAGAAAAACACGAACCGACCACAATGAAAATGTTCTTAAGCGTGTTATTAACTATTAAGACTCATCAACAGATTTATCAAAAATATATATATATATATATATATAGAATGGAGAGTAATACGTGTTGAAGATTATGTAATGTATATATGTAAGGTTTGGCCGTTTGACCGTCGTCTGATGCAATCACCATTGTGACCCCGAAAATGTAACACTTATTTACTAATGTTTTCCTTATCGCTTGAAAATTAGCGAATTTGCTTCAGAAATACTCGCATAATCCCGCAAAGCATATCTTTCTTCTTCTTCAATGTAAGGTCAATAAATTTTTAAGTGTAAAATCGAAGTTAAGTTTTAAGTGTTCGCTCAATAAAGCAAAGTTTCGCCTCAAGTGCGAAAAACAGTAAATTTGACCGACTGATGGAGTCGTCACTAATCAGGAAAATATTAATACTTCTTCTGTCTGTAGGTGAAGGTTGCGCCTGTGATTATAATGAAACAATATATGATATAAATAAGCCGGAATGATATATATGCATATGTTGTATGCATCGTATGTATCGTTACCTGCAAAGAGTTGACGAATTGTTCAACATACATACATATGCAGGATATATGCGTGATAATCAATTTGTAGACAAGATACTGATGGGATTTATTTGCTTAAGGAATGTATTTATTGTTCTTTATAAGTAAATTGTAGTTAAGTTTTATATTTCTACTTAAAGCGGGGCTGCATTCATCCGTTCAAACCTGACTTAACTAAAAACACCCCATTCTACGGAACAATCATTAGCGAGAACGGAGACTTGAGAGACTAGAGAGACTATTGTATCTAGCGAAAGCAATGTATTAGTCCTAGATTGCTAGCCGACAAAATGATTCCATTTGATAGCATTCGCTAATTGTGGTCACTAATACTGCTCCTCAACACAACTTAAATCCTGTCCTGGTCATCTCATTTTTGAGGATTTCAAATGCTGCGTGATAATGTAGACAAATTCGATGCGTTAATCGATTTGCATGAAAAGCAATCGGGGTTTTTATTCTCTACTTTGAGAAAAATCGCCTTATCCCATGTCGCTGCAAATGGACATAGAAACAAAAATATGTAGTAGAAATAATGTAATCCTTTTGGAAGTGGAGGTAGAAGATTTCTATGTCATATCATTAATATTCTGTTGCTATCATTATAATGTGATTGTATGTAAATTTGAAAAATGCCCGGGCTTTGAAATTATAATATATATATATATATATATATATATATATGGGTATATTTAGTGGTCGATAGAGTGTGTGCTTCAGATGCCGTTAGAAATATTCAGGATACCAGCTCCGCGCACTGGTTGCAGAAGGAGAATTGTACCTTGCTAAGGAAGATCAGTGTAGTGTCAGTTTTTCAAGGATATTTCAATCATTGGAAATTCGAATTTAACAAAGTCGGTTAACTTAATAGTTTCGTAATGCAATCTTCTTACTCGGCCATGGTTTTTTAAGCGGTTTGCGAGAGTGTATGTGTGAATCAAATTTATTAATACATTACAGTGGATACACCGTTATGGCCTAAGTGGAACCTACTACGTTCCAAATTTATATTTCAATTTGTTCACTTAAATGTATTTATGTCAGAAAATATTTTAGCCTTGCGCTTACAAATATATATATATATGTATATATATATATAGTACGTTTTATTTTGTATTGTGTTTTTCATTGATTTCATAAAATTACTTTTTTAATTATTTTTCTTTTCTTCTTTTTCTTTCTCTCAGACATGATTAAACCAAAATACTAGATTTCGTTTTAATAATCATAGTAAAGCTAAATAGAAAGAAATTCCCATCAATCTGACATCCATCATGCATGCACATCTGTCGCCTCGTTGCTATATATTTTCTTATATATGTAAAGTATTTAAATAAATTAAAAAAAAAAAAAAAAAGCTTTTAATTTTTAATTTTCAATCAAGTAATTCTAATAAAAATACGAAAATGAAAAAAAAAAAAAAAACACATAACCTATACATAGTATTTTATTAATTAAAATAAAAGGAAAAAAAAAAACAAAAAAATAAAAAAACGATGACAATGATGATGACGATACGTTTAAACAGCAAATTAAACGGAAAAATATATATAAAAAAAAATATATATATATACATATATAAAACAATTACAATACATAAAAATCCGAAAGAGACAAAGGATTACGAAACGCGGCATTAACTATACAATAATTGGAGACATTTTTCCAATATTTAATTATATCAATGGCATTTATGTAAAGTTACGAAAGCCTTGAAGAAAACTAATTTCTTTTCACATCCGTAAATATTAGAATGCAGCCCAAGGTTTTCGTACTATTTGCATATAAATGTTATTGAAATTGTCTCTAATTATTGCATTCTTCGTTATTTAAATTTTTCTTTTATAAAATGTCTTTAACATTTTTTCTTTCTTTTTTTTTTTGTTTTTGTTTTTCATTTTTTTTATGATAATGACGGAAAGACTAGAAAACTATATTATTATATGCCAGCATAACTGTGTGTAATATATTCATACAATTTCGTCTTATCGATTAAATATGTGCGTGTTTGCCTCTGTAAAGATATAATAAAATAATATATGTATATATATATATATATATACATATGTATACAAATAACTATGTGAATAATTATGTGAAATTGTTTTTAAATAAAACCAAAAAGGAGAAAATTGTTATTTAGTTGCATTTGCTCGTATGTGTTAAAGGTTTCTGCATATTGAATAAACGTAAAAAAATCAATTTTAGAATTCGTGAACAATGTTGGCAAAAAGTAATGAAAAATTGAAGTTCGCATAATTTGAAGAACGAAAACCCATTTGGTCAAATTGTAAGACATAATTTCGTTTTTAGTAGAAAACGGCAGGAGAGAAAAACAACGTAGTTCTAATTTAGGAGTATATATGCTATATATAAATATATGTTATATAAATATATATGTATATATATATAGTATATATAGAGGTATATACTATATATAAATGTATGCTATTATATCTATATATATACATATATACATACATATACATATATATATATGTATATATTTATATTTATATGTATGGTAAAAATTGCAAAATATCTGTTTCTGTATATTTAGGTTTATTAAGTTAATACACCTGCGACCGTGCTAATACGTATCTCATTAGAGAATCACTGCATGGGATGAGCGTAGCTTAAACACTCTGGATAAAGCATTTTTTTTTTTTTTTTTTTTTTTTTTGCAAAGTAATTAACTTAAGTAGAGATTTCATAGTCCGTGATGTGCACTGATAAATTCGACTTTCCATAGTGCATTAATTTCATGACATCTTTCCAACCTATTGGAATGCGTGTACGACATAGCTTAAACAAATTTGTTCTCACGTCTATCCGTCTCACCGTGAGATCGTGACAATTTCAAGACTTTGAGTAAGATTTTGATTGTGTTACCATCTTTTCAAATTTTATAGCATTGAGTTTGATCTGGAATGAAAGCTAAGCATCAAAACCAAAAATAGTTAACAGTTAAATAGGATCAAGGATCAGACATATATATTCGAAAAAATAATTATGTAAATGTGATTCACGATTTGCATGATTATACCTTCATATTATCTAAGAATATGATTTGAAAAATATAAACGATATACGATTAGGTTAATCTCTCTCGCTCTCGCAAATCACGAGTCGGATATAATTGTTTTTTTTCTTCATTTGATTAACTGCAATTTCTTATAGTTAAAATAAATGTTCATAATATTTGTTGATAATATCTAGGCGTGTAGATATCGAGAGTAAGCCTAGTATAGTATAAAAAAAAAAGCTACATGCTTATGATTTGCAATTGAATTGAAAGGTAGTCTTTGATCTCAAACAAATTATGGTTAATTTATTAATCTATTCGTTGCGGAAATCTAAAGAATCAAGATAAAAAGTCAACTTTCACAAACATCAAAAAAATTGTATTCGCCAACGATAACCATATTTACTTCTTCCTATCAATTTTATTCTATACTATAAATATTTCAACAAATATATGACTTGAAGCCAGCTAGAGCACGTTAATGTTATATTGGGTTCGTCTTTTAAAAAATTTATTAAGATTGATTACAATCCACAGTTGATCAGTATCAATTAAATAAATAGATCCGTACATCCCTCCAATATTCACTATTAAGGGAGGAAATACGAGCTACATATATGCGTTCATACGTCCCTCTAGTATTCACTGCTCTGTTAAGGGAGGAAATACGAGGTATATTTGTAGTATTATACAGCAATATAAAAGCAATTCTGTCTAAAAAATGCTACAACATACTACGAATGATTTATTACGAGTATCGATAATTACAAATACATCCGATACGAATAAATGAATAAAAACAAAGTCATACATATATATACTGGCTGATAAGGAGGCTATATATGTGGTCTGCGGAATTATCTACGGTCCGTTCGATCGGACCATCTAAAAAATGTGTAAATAAGAAAATAAAAGTTCGCTTACCTCATTTGTCGTGCATATCAAGACACGATATATATCCGAATATAGATAAACATTTATTCTAACATTATAAATAAGGAAGAAACAGTTAATTTATAAATTCAGAACTATCTTCTCTATCTTAGGTAAATTCTAATCCACACATGATTGATTGTGTGTTATTTTTTATCCTTAATTTTCTATTTAATCCTATTTCCTTATGAAATATCATTTGCCATAAGAAAGTATTAGAGATATTCCGTTTTGTTCTGTCCGGTTAGTTTGCTTTCACATATCGGCTTTTTATCCACGACGGAACAATAGCAAATAGCCTGCAATCGCTCAACTAAATACCGTTTACAATCATCCCTGCCTGCCATAACATTTTCAAATCCGCATTTGAATATGTTTACTAGAAATGCATAACAACATGTATTTAACAAAGAATGAAATATATGAAATAGTGTATTTTCTTCACTTTAATTAAGTAATTTAAAATTAAAAATTAAATTTTACATAGCATTTCCTCTTACATTTTCATATTGTAGCAGCTACTCTCATATCAATGAATTAATTATAGCATGTACGTCACTTGTTTTATTTTTATAGCGTAAGAGTAAATTCGATATATTACATATATATATATATATATATATATATAAAGATATATAGATATATATAATACAAATTATATTAAATAAAAATATTTAAATAAAATATATACATAATTCTGTTCATGTTCTTTTTCGGTAATATATGACAGAATATATAATGATATATAATATAATATATATATATATATATATATATATGTATATATATATATATATTTATATATTATAGGTATATTTATTCTATACAACATTACACAGTTTTCAATAAATGAAGAATACATACAGGCATACACACATATATTCATATATATGTACGTTAATAAACTTATGTAATTGTAAAACACATTTAGTGTATCTATTTATAATAATTATTAATATTATCTCCTCCAAATAACAATAATAATAAACAGTGAAACTCTATATATATATATATATATATACTATATATATATATATATACTATTATGTAAACAAATAAAGAAGAAAATTTACTTTAATAAATAATTTACCAAATATTGTTTTTATTATAATATCTGCCAAATTGATATTAGAAGGAGAACACACTTGATAAGGTTGTTTCATAAATTCATTGCTTAACTTGAGAGTTTTCAAAAGAGGGGCGTGTCCTTTAGCGGGAGTCGTCTATACTCTACACTCAAAGATGTCCATACTGTTCGAGTCGATGACGAGTCGAACAAGAAAATGTTGTTTTCGCCAAAACAGCAAATAAATCCGAATATATTGAAAAGTTCCTGGGTAACGATTGTAATCGCGTTTCCCGTTTCATTGTCGTGAGAAAAAGACTGTCTGATCGGATTTACAAAATTTTTGTAATTTATCTGCATGAAGATGTGATGAAGATCTCATTTAACCACCCCTCCAAGCGATCATCCTCTTCGCTATTCACTTTATGCGTATGGAAATTATTTTACACCGAATATCATATCAGGGATTATCAGAGTTTTATTGGATTGGATTTAGTATTTAATATTTTTTCTTTTTTAATAGCTTCTCATTGTTCGATAGGATAGATTTGATACCATTGTTAATAGAAAACTATTCACTTTCTTTTCGCATCTTTCCCATGTTTCGATTTCCAGGACATCCGTCTACCTTATTTTGTATGATATTCTTTACGGCGACTGCGCTTTGAAAAAAAATTCGTTAAAATTTTTACTAGTATCCGTTATAAAGTAAATTTAGAAAATTCCACCTTTCTAACTTCCAAAATTTCTGAGCCAGTGACGGAAAACCATAGATTTTTGCTTAGAGAAATAGAGTTACTTTCAACTTACGCCTTACTTTGGCCGTGTCTTCGTCGATCAAATTTGGCTCATTTTTGCGCGCAAGAACTTCCAATGTTTGTGGCAAATTTGATGGCGAAATCTTAATTTTTGCGACAAAGACGGCGTCAACGACACGCTAGGCCGATCCAATATGTAATGCTAACCAAGAATACATATACTCTATTTGGTCTCTGAAGCTTCCTTTTGAGTGTTACATATATATTAAAAAAAAAAAAATAATAATAATAATAATAAAATTATATATAATGTATGTTCATATTTATATATGTACATACATATATATATATAAATATATATATTAAATGTTTGCAAAAATTTTGATCACTTTTTCATTTGGGAGAGACATTTATTATGGAAAATTGGTAAAATATACATTAATTAAGATATTTATCCATTACTTCTATAACACTTTACCATTTTTGTGGCAACAAAGCAATATTCGTTTGGGCAACGATCCATGCACCGATTCATTTTCGAACTTCGCGTGTCAGCCAAGCCATGGTGCACCGATCTGAACAAGGAGTAATCAGCAGGCATCGTGTGGCAGGATATGGCAGAACTTCCCGTTCGAGTTGCAAGAGGACCTAATGGCATTTTCTTCCACGCATGTAAACGTCGAAAAATAGTGCATTCCTCAATTGCGCAAACTGTTCGAAAGTTCTTTGAGAATTTGAGTAGGGTGTTCGTTCCAACAAGTTTTGTAATTTATTGTTTTCGAGCTTTTATGGTCCTCCAGTTACCACTTTTAACCTGTTGAAACCAAAACCGATAATTGGGATACGAACTCAAGCAGCATTATCATAAGCTTTTGATCATAAGTGTTTGATGGGCTTCGCCGACAGATTTCTTTAAATTTAATCAGAGAAGTAATGCGATTTTGTGCGCTCCGTGATGTTTCCCATTTGTTTATCATTTTGACCTGTAGAAATCATGCTGATCACAATTTTTGCAAACGCATAATATATATGTGTGCGAGTGAATCGATCGATGGAGGTATGGACTGACTGAATATCATCAAAAGTGAATTTATTCTTCTACGCAAAGTTTTGATCTCAATAGCTGTCACTTATGAGCATATTGAATTCTTGTTGAATTTCCTTTTATTTTTTATGCGGACTACACCTGAACTCTGATATACGCGCTGATCAACAAGGTCCGTTGTATTTATTTCTTTACACTAAACACAACACTAAACGTTATGAAGCAACAATAAGCCGGCGAAAATTTTCTCTATCTCTCGCTCTCTATAAGTGTGGATGAATAGTATAAATTTTCGCTAACACACACACACACACACACACACACACAGACATGCATCGCTAAATGAAAACCTTTAAATAAAACAAACGTATATCGAAATATTGATTTTCCTTAATGTGAAGTGAAATTTCGTTTATTTATTTATTTGTTTATTTATTTATTTAAATCAGTCAGTATCTTTGTTTAGGCATAATGTTGGTATTTTTTTATGTAGATTCAATGTTACTTTTTTAGATTATCTTTTAATAAAAATTGTATGCAGTACTTTTCTGTAATTTGATTTTATTTATATTTATCTTCATTTAATTATTTAATTATTTTTGTATTTATTTATTAATTTTTTGTTGTTGTTGTTGTTGTTTTTCTTTTCCTAGAGAATACAAGTTGCGGTTTTGTTAATTGATAATTATTTCTAGTATGTATGTGTATGTATGTATATATGTTTGTGTGCGTGTGTTTTGTGTTTGTGTATGAAATGGTTTTAATACAAAGAGATTTTTTTTAAAGCTATTTATTTACTTATATTGATTTAAAAATTTTGTTCAAATTTCTTAAAGTTGTAAATAAAGCAAATAAAAAATTATTTCAAATTGAATTTCAACGAAATATAATTTCAAAGGTAAACAACATAACGAAAATAAATAAAAATGAATTTTGTTATTGCACGCATTGCACGTAGTTGTTAAGTGAATGCATGTTACACACTTCGAACCGTTTTATCGACAAAAATAAAATTTATACCTATTAGCGAATAAATTTGATCTGATATCATTTAGACATGTGTCAAAAAAAAAAAAAAAAAAAAAAAAGACATATTTTACATAATTACATGTCAAATATCTCCCAATTGGTCTTATAGTTTTAGTTAGCGTACGCGCGTATATGTGTATGTTCATGTATGCAAATATTTGAAATTTATTCCAAATGTTATAAAAAAGTCGACTCTGTTCGCGTTTCCCGGCGTGGTCGGGCAAGCACGTATGACGCAATTAATTAATTAATTAATTAATATTATTAAGCCGTTAAAAATGTCGACGACTGACGGCTGACGACCGACTATAGTCGCCGAATTGTTTTATAATTATTGTTCTTCTCTTCATTTCATTTGTGATATTTATAATATTGTTGTGGTTATGTGTTTGGGCTCTCTTGTTTTTTCATTCTCGTCTTCTACTCAAGATTAAGTTTTTTTTTTTTTGTTTTTTTTTTGGGTTTTTTTTAATTTTATATAAAATTTATCATTCAATGCATCATTTGTTATACAAATACGCAGATGTTTATCAATATATGTAGCTTAGAGAGAATCCATGTTATTAATATTAAATTAAATAAGATTAGATTTTGTTTTTGTTTTGTTCAGTTTTCCGTTTTCACATCTACATTAATGCTAAATTTCATTTCAAGTACAAATATATAAATTTTAAATATTGTTTTTTTTTTTTTCTTTTTTTTTTATTTTTTACCGTATTTACTTTGAAGAGTTTGTAGTGTTGTGTTGTTGTATTAACCTACATATATATTTTAATACGAGTATGCCTATAAATGAGTACGCACGGGAGAGCGAGCGCACGCGCACGCGCTTGTGTGTGTATGTGTGTGTGTGTGTGTGTAAGTATAAGTATGTATGTATTTATGTATGTACGTATGTGTTTGAATATTTTTGTATGTATGTCTTTAATAAAAGCTAATTATTTTGGTGTGAATAAATTTTAAAATGTTTCGTTAAAATGAAACAAAAGATTTAGACGAATTCTTCTTGTTCCAGCCAAGGGTGACTGAGACATTCGGCAGCTGAGGCTCGTATAACCGGATTATATTCCAACATTGGCAGCAAAAAATCGGAAAATTTCTTTGCCTCGATTGGATCCCAATCGTATTTTTCAACTAACACATTTATTAGGCTCCACGGTTTCAATTTAGTTATGTTACGCAAACTTCCTATAAAATATTTTAAAATTAATTTTAATTTACTTGAAATATCATTAAAATATGCAAAAAATGCAAGCTTAGTTTTTTATTTTTACCATAAGTAGTAAAATATTTAAGTCCATGTTTACCGCGGAATATCACCGACGAAGGTATTGTGCCCAACAGTTCAATAATATGCGCTAAATGGTCCTCATCTCTTGAATAAGATTCGCCCGCATGCGGATCAAATAGATAATCGCCGGTAGCCAATTCAAAGGCCAAACATGCCGTACTCCAAATATCGGCCGTATAATTGTATGGTGCCCCTAATAAAACCTCTATTGAGCGATATTGACGCGTCTGAATATCCTCGGTAAAGTGATGATACTAAAAATGAATGCAATATCAATTTTTGATTAATTTCTTTCTCTGCAGAAATAAATTGTTTGCTTTCAAGCTCACCTCATAGCAAGCGTTGCCCAAATCCGCGATCTTTACTCTCACGTTCGTATTGTTGATTAATGCTTGTATGGCGTTTGTATAAGATTGTGTCTGAGAAAGTGCAGTGTTATTTAATTTATTATTTGTTTGTTCTTTATCTGAACCAGTGGTGTCAGTGGGCAGCTGTGAACATATAAAAAAAAAAAAAAATAATAATAATAAATAAAAAATAAAAAAAAAAATAAAAACAAATAAAAATAAAAAGTAAAAACGAAAATAGAAAAATTAAATTAAATCAAAAAATAAAAATTATAGAGAACAGAACAAAAATTTTGTGCAAACAATCAGTTACAGTGTTCATTTCATTACACCCATTGCACCCTTTACAGCCTTTCTTCTCTAAGCAAACCTTCAACGGCAACTACTTTACAATCCTCTATATATATATATACTTATTCTGCTTTATAAATTCATACACTCAATGTTATCCATATTAGACGCTTAGAAACACTTCTACATTATGCAAATTTTGCGGTCAATTGTCCCCAATTCGAAGAACGCTTATAAAAGTACGCTTGAACATTCTTTGAAAGACGCATTTTGCAATGTACCTGTGTACTTAGTATACAAAGAGGCCATGAATGAATTTATATTTATATATGTGTTATGCGTTCCTTTTTGAAAAATCCGCCTTTCTCCGATCAATACTTTTGCCGTACATTATATAATTAAGAAAAACGTATGGCAATTATAAAAAGCCTAAGCCCAAGTGACTTTAGCAAAATAAGCGCATAGCTAGCGAAAAAACGGAATTATTAGAAAGAAGGCTCAATAAGGAGCGACAACTCTGGTATAAGGCGTTATAATTATTTAGATATATTTCGAAAGGTGTTAGCAGAAACAATCCGTGCTTGCACGCATTGTAAGGAGACCTTACTTCTCCAAGTTTATATAGTTTTCGATTTTTTCAATTTTTCATATATCTTGCTTTGCGCTTATACCCCGAGCTGTTCAATAAAAAAAAAAAAAGAAGAAGAAGAAGAAGAAGAAGAGATATTTTACAGTCGTCGGGTGGTCGATGAAATATCACTAGTGTTTAAGTAAATCGAAGTCTTCTTTTTGCCGTCAAATCTATAAAACTATTTATACACGTATGCCTTAACATTGGACTGAAGGTGTTAAAAATTAAATTTTAAATTTCTTAAATCAAAAATATAATTCGGTTCTCTTATGGACGACGTTAGTGTTTAATACCGAAACCATTGACTGCAATAAGCAGGACTTTCAATTAACGAAAGACAACCGGCGGACATCAGACATCTTAATGTAGTTTCATGATTCAAAATAATTGCAAAAATGAAATATCGAAAATTTTTGCTGATAATTCATGACTTTGAAGAAGGGACTTTTCAGAATAACCCGCTATTATCGGGAATCTAATATGAATTTAGAGTAAAATCTGTCAAAAGTATCGAGAAACTCTTTGAAAACTAAAAAAAAAGGAAAAAAAAACTCAACTGCGCGCTTCCGCTCTGACTAATTTGGTCCATTGTCAATATTAAATCGCGTGCAGAAACTTCCAATGTTCATATTTGCACACCACACAGACGGACAGACATGGCTAAATCAACTCAGAATTTCGCACTAATCAAGAATACATACATTTTATAGGGTCCCTGAAGCATCCTTTTAAGCATACCTCCCCATGTTACAGTGGTGGGTATAAAAATATATAAAATTCCTGCATTTTTAGATGCCATAGTTCATTCATTTCACATTTGAAAATAAATGAAATTAAACTAATTTAAAATAAATATTAGCAGAGTAAAGTGCCTTAAGGTATTCCATTTCGCCTAACCAATCTATAAGAAAAATTTCACTAATCGGAGACTTGGTTTGAAACAAATGTAACAAATGTGTTTTCTACATTCGTAAACGATTTTCTTAAACGAGGTCAACTACAACTTTCATCAAAACACTTGAACGCAAAAATTGCATACAATTATGCGAAAAAGAAAAACGAAGTGGAATTTGGTACGTTCTAGCTTACGTCTTGTTTGACATCGCCTCTTGTCTATGCCTGGCGCCTCGTTTCTTATCTCGTTATAAAACAATTAAAAATTGGTCCTCTTATCAATAGCCAATTATTCTTTGGACATGGACTTCATTATCCAACGAAGAAAAAAAAAAGTATAATACATACGAATATAATCGTGGACTAGTTTTTTAAGAGGAACATTCAAAGGTTTCGTTTAGTACAACATTCAATTAATATGTTAACAAAGTCGGCCAAGAACCCGTTCATCTCTATTGCCTTCACTCATTCTTTTTATGAATGTTATCAGGGATATGAGCAGAGTTAATTGTCAGAGTTCCATACTAGATGAAGACTAGGTGAGGATTTCAAGCTTTCGAAAGGCCTTCGCATAATATTGATGATCACGATACACTGAATAAAAATTATTTTAGACAATTTTGGAAGTGGAAACTTGATGAAGAAGCACAATGACAATAAATGGATAAAAATTTGTATATATGTATAAAATATATATATATATATTTATATATATATATATAAATATATATATTTATATATATATATATATATATATATATATATATATAATTATTTAAATGAAGTCAGTGCTTGAATATTATCAGACGCTTTGCAAAACAATTTTAGGTGCAATATGAAAATATATATGTATACGTTTTTAAAGGACGAATTTTGTTATTTAACGAATTGTTACCTTGGCAGTGATTTTCTTTTCGGTGCGATAACGATTATTAATGTTGCCAGACGATGTTGTGGTACCGCTACCAATGCCACCACCAACACCGCCACCACCACCGCCAGTACTACTCTCAACACTATCGCCCAATAAACTTGAAAACTTAGAGGCCAAAGACGACGTGTCTTCCTTATCACCGCCACTGGCTGCACCCAGAGTTGTTGGCAATGGTGTCGATGATGTCGAATTATTCGCAGTGCTGGCATTCGGATTAGCGGCATTCATTTCGATGTTCTGCATGGGCCATTTAGCGCGAGTTTTAGTTTGCTTTTCAATGGAACTTACTGTTTCGAATGAAAAAAAGCAACAACAAAAACAAGACAATTATACAAATAACAAAAAACTTAATTATGCAAAAGATCACAACACGATCGACACCGCCAACGGCAACTTACTGTACGAATCAGGAAATTCGACTCCTTTAATTCGCAGATTTGTGATCTCATCGTCGATTTGTTGATTCATTGCAGCCGCATTATCGATAACCAATAGAATATTCTCAGGTTTGATATCCGTATGGATGATACTGCATTTGCTATGCAAATAATCCAAGCCCTCTAAAACTTGTTTTATAATGTTGCGCACTTGTGCGATAGCCAAGCCCTGATAATTATTCTTAACAATTAATTTATAGAGACTGCAGCCCAGCGCCTCAAATACTAGACAGGTGTGTACGCCATTTACGCCCCTCACAGTGAAATGATTTAATAAACGTACAATACGTTCACGTTTCACATCTAATGGATCGGCGTCTCTTATAGCTTCCAATAGTCGGATTTCATCCGCCGCCGTCTCTATATAATGCGGAGCGCTTTTCACCACTTTCAATGCCACATACTTTTCCTCTCTATAAATGTAAGTTTGTGTGTGTGTGTGTGTGTGTATGTGTTTGAAGTTTATCGCATATTATATTATAAATCACTTTATTTTCTAATTTGTTCATTTACTTGAGATCTCTGCATAACCAAACGGTGGAAAAGTGACCCCATCCCAGCTTACGTACGACACGAAATCGACTATCGAATATATCGCCTATTACGACCGGATGATAGCCACCACGGCAATATTGAGCAGCATCCTCTTGTTCCTCATCTGATCCATACAAGCTACTATCCGGTGAATCTGTAAAAATTTCATCTGTGGTACTTGAGCTACCGCGGGGTTCCGATCTGAAATTCAATCAAAAATTCAAATAAGATCAACTCGAAAAGGCCAAAAAAAAAAAACAATGAAAAACATATCTTAACTGACGAACCAGTTATGAACACACAATTCGTTAAAGCTCGGCAAACTCGGCTCGCTTAACGTATCATAAGCAAAATGGAATTTTCAAATAAAATTTTGTTCCATTGTAAAATGAAAATCAAGAAATAAATCAAAAGAATTCTCCATTATAGCATTATAGCAACAGAAACTGACTTTCAGAGTGAATCCGGATGAGTCTTAATTGACGTTCTTTTATAAAAAAAATTAATGGACCTCGAAAAGTCGATGTAGAAGGAAGACAGCAAGCCATTATATTTTTATAGATTATATTGAAAGCATTTTCTCTCGTTTGATTGATGGCAATCAATTAATTGAAATATTGAAGGATTAGAAGCTCGTGACATTTCTATATTAATAGATTAGCCATAACGGAATTTAAAGCTTCTCGAGCTAACACACATGTAATGAATGTGTTCCGGTAAAAAAAATAGAGAGAGAGAGAGAGAGAGAGAGAGAAAGCGCGAAAGAGATAATGAATGAATGAGAACGAAAATTTTCGCTTATTACGATAATTTCTAATGAATTTGGGCGAGTCTGGCAAAAGTAATGAAAAAAGTTTTTTTTGCAAATTTGTACACACACATGTAAGCAGTGGCATCCGTTTTCTTTACATTTTTAAAGTTGAGTTTTGCCTGAATTGCCGGCCCAGAGATTTTGCACTTTGGTGCAACGAACAAAGGCTTTGAACGTATTGGCAAATAATTGTTGTTGTCTTTGTGCGCTTCAACGTTCCTTAATATTGACGTTGGTAATGTGCCACGTAAAGGCGGCCTCTGCCTTTTTGGGCTTCGTATATGCACTAAAACAGGTCCCGCTGAAACACAATTCCTTTTCTTTTTTGCAATCTTCTTATCATGTCTCTTCTCTTCATTTGTAATTTCTACTAAAATTTGTGGCGCGACCATATTTTTCGTATCTTCGCGATCATTTTGAAATTCAAATTCACAAATTACGGTCTGTGGCAGAGAATTGATTATAGTGGCGTCATCAGTGTTATCACGCCACGGTATCGCTATACCGTTAATTTGCGGTCGTTGTGTCGTTGAAAAAACATGATTAACCTTCAGCCAGTGCATGAAGAAGAGAAATATAAGTAAACACAAGAATTTGAGTGTGAATATGCATAACTGATCTTGCGCGAAAATTTCAGAGTATTCTTGTAATTGGGTACCAAATGAGTGCAAATGTTTCGTTATACCGGCAAGACCACCATAAATATGAGAGCAATAATCGAAAGCCAGGGAAACTATTGCCCATAGTTCTTCATAGATTTGTGGAAAGTTTTCAAGTAGCGAGTGCAAGTATTTCCAGGAAGGTGACTCGTTCAGCAAGCACATGCTCTTTGGTATCACAATTGATGTGAAATTTTGGGCTGAACATAGGCCCCGGGATTTTAATAGTGTAACACTGCCGAACCCGTTAGGCATCAACAGTTTTAATAAATCCATTAATTATGCAAATATCGCCAATTTTTCCGATGATTTTCTGATCAAAACTTTCAAATTTTTTTTATTTTTTTTTTAATAATTTTTTTTTTTTTTTTTTTTTTTTTTTTTAGGTGGACAAATCAGACCTGTTAGTTAATAATATGGCCAATATAACGTGATTAATTTTCAGTACAAGTTATTCTTTTGCATTTACAGTTGATGGCAGCAGTCCGGGATGATTTTCAGCAAAACTTGTTGACGCAGATCGACTTTTTTCGTCGAGAGTTATTCCCAATCGATTGACTTTTGACGATTTGACTTTTATACATTAATTAGACATTAAGAGAATAAACAAAAGTAATAGTTAAAAAGGAATCAAATTCAATATAAAAACAAAAAAAAAAAAAAAAAAAATCAATTCGATTCGATTTTAAAAAGTTTTGATTTGGTTTTTATGCGATCGCAAATGTATATATAATTTTTGTAAAATTTGATTTCACCTGTTCCTACAGTCATTGCGATTGACATTATTTATCACGCATATTACTTTCTCGAGTAAGTAAGAGTAAAGGGTTTTATCACTCTTCCGGTTTTTGATTCAATAAAAGTTCTTTCGCTTACATAACGTTTAATATTAAAATAATCGCGTATCGTTAAAAAAAAAAAAAAAAAAAATTATGAAATTTTGTATTAGTGAATAAAATTAAAAAAAAAAAAAAAAAACACGTAAATATATAGAAAGATGTGTATTGTATATTTGTGCGTTTTATAGAGGAAGCGATAAAATATTTCGTTTAATTTCTTACAGACGGTATCTAACAAATGCGAGCATCGAAGAAAAATTTGTAGCAAAATATTTGCAACGATCCGTTCATACATTCGTCCATCTATTCGTTTGTTGACATTCATGCGCTCAGTTATTTTTTTTTTTTTTTACTTTTTTATTGTTTTTGTAAATATACACAATCATTCTTCTTACACATCCAAACATATAAATTGATGCACGAATGCGTGTGTGTGTGTGTGTGTGTGTGTGTGTGTGTGTGTGTATGTGCATATGTACATCAGTTAGTTAAACTTTTTGTCTTTCAGACAGATTAGATTTGTTCAATAATTTTACATTTTTATTTTTATAGCGAACCCTATCTATTATTGCCAAAATAAAAAAGGGAAAGAAAACATTGCTCCGATATTTCGTCATCAGTTCAATTTAAGAATCAACGTCACTCCTTTACTATAATGCATCATATCACACACGTTTCACACCTGTCGAGATACATTGCATACAATACCGGGGAGCAGGCCAAGAGAATTATAGTTACTCTCTGCTTATGCTTTTTTAGTTTCTATCTCTTTCTACTTTTTCATTTCTCTATTTCTTGCTTTCTATTTATTGCTCGAGAAAGTACTCGTGAAAAGTGAATCTTTTCTCATTTTTGTTTTTCTTTTTTTTTTTTTTTTTTTTTTTTTTTCTTTTTCATCACCAACCGATGGAGAGTATATTAATATTGACGTTCCATTGGTAACTAACGTAAAACTAGAGATCAAAGTTCATCAAAGTTCAAATGATTGACGCTTTACAAAGCTATAAAGCTATGATCGACCGACATGTAAATTTAGTCGACTTGGACCGTCTGTTAACAAACAAATCGACATAGACATAATATTCGTCGATAATATAAATTAGCAAAATAGTGTCCTGACTACGTCTACAAATAGGCAAACACCCCGATAATCGATAGTTGTTTTTTTATATAAATAACAATCATCTTTGAAAACTAGCCGATGGTTCCGCTTAAAATGGCAGAAAAAGCAAACATAAATACATAAATAAGTACAAAATATGTAAATTCTGTTGTCTATGAATAATGATTTTGAATAAGGCGAACATTAGCGCACTGGAGAAGTTTTGGCAAAGTCACATAATAAGTTTTCCTGTTTTCATTGAAAGTCCAGTGTAAGAAAACATATTTTATTCGAAAACATCTGCAAACTCGATAAAAAGAGATCGATATAACGGGTATCTTGATAATGACATCTTTCAGCGGCACTTAAAATCATTTTACCTGTTATATATATATATATATTTAATTTTATCTATTAATTTTTATATTCATTTTGTCAAAGTGTTTGTAACGCCCAGAAAGGAGTATAACCGAACCCACAAAGTGTATATATTCTTGATCAACATCAAATTCTCCGTCTGTCCGTCGGTTAAATGTTCGTTGTAAACCTTCTCCTGGCCGCAAAAGCAAACCTATCAACATCAAATTCGGGTTCAGATTGGTATTCAAAATGGGCCAAATCAATCAAAGGACAAGCTCACAGTGTGTTTTTTGCTGATTGAAACGCATATTCTATAGACAAGGCCGTAGAGTTTGTGCACAAAAATGGTAAAAATTCGCCACGCCTACCCAATATAATAGTGTATCAAAAATTAATTGTTTTTTCAATACCTTTATAACGCGGAGCAACAAGCCTCAAAAACCCCATAAAATATATATATCAAATTCTTGGCCACCTGTCTGCTTGAGCAATTATGTTGTATTTGTGGTAAACATTCTCCCGTTAGCTTAAAACTTTGCAAAAGAATTTGGAATTGATCTAAACTTTTCAAAAGACACGCCTACAATGCCCACATGTCTCTCCGACAAAAACATTTATTTTGAAAATAGAAGAAATCAACTGCGCCCGCTCCATATTATAGAGCACGTAAATTTTGTTCGATTACTTTGTTTGTCTCTTTTGGGGGTAAACGATGATGCGTTTTAAAGGATTCGGTCTCAACCGAATTTAACTTCTCCTACTTGAGTTGCTTTCATCTTGTTCTGGCAAAACAATTGATATAAAGTCAAAAAATTTTATTAATTGCTGCCTTAGATAGATCGCGAAAGTTTTTGCATTGAACTTTTATATCACCTTTAGGAGCCTTTGGAAATATAATAGATTTGTACTAGATTTACACTGTATTTCGATCTGCACTGTATTTCGGGAAAGGAAAGCAAAATTACATTGTTTCTTGTATTGATAGACTGCAAAGGAATTATATTCTTAGCTATTCTTTAAACGGGTTTTATTTTATTGATATTTTATCGAAACTTCATTCAAATCTTGAATTTGAAGTGTGCTTATTTAACTTATTTTTACTCTCGAAGATAATCTAAATAATTATTATTTTTTCTTAACCGATAATCCTACAAATAATTGCGGATTCGTAGAAAAATTTTAATTGCTTAGAAATTTCTTACTTACATCATATAGAAACGAACGGCCTGTAAAAACCGTCTACAGTTTACCGTCTGCCGTCGCTCTACCAACAATTTCGTTTCTTTCGTTTCAAAACTTTGAACAGACTTGACAATGAAACGGTCGGGACGAAACTACGTGAGAGTAGAGTACAAAAATTGCTCATTTTTAATTCTTTTTGAATCTTCCTCTTCTTTTATCCTAAGAATCATTAGACGATTTTAAATATTTCGGCTAATTAAAGATTAGTTTATTAGTGGAGGTTTTCAAGCGTAAACACGAAAAGTTTCTCTTTCGTAGCTTACCTGCATTATATAAATATATATTTATATATATATATATATATTTATATATTTATATATATTTATATATATATATATTTAACAACAAAAACTTTTTTTTTTGTCAATTTTAATATTGTATCCCTCACACATACATTATAAAGGAAGTGAAAACATTATGGTCGGGCTAGACCGACTTTTAGGTACCGTACACAACATTGTCCAACATAAGTCTTAGTTTTGCCGTAGAATACAAGAATTATACCTTGTTTTTAGATGAACTCACTATTATGAAACTGTATACTACGAATTAGATCTTTTTGCAAATAAAGGCTTATTTTCCCTAAGAATGGTTGTGCCCAAGAGCTTTAAAATTTGAGGTACGTGTTCGAAATTCAGTACAATTTTTATCTTAAATTACTTTTATGGATTTTTTAGTTTCATCATAAAATGTTATAATTTAAAGTTTTCTGCCCTACGAAAAGATCCAAAAATAGGCCGGGATGGTTCAAATTTGGTGCAGTTAATTTTTTTATATCAAATTACTCTTATTATTGGATTTTCAGCAAAGCGCATTGAAGATTAGAGCTTTTTGTCATATAAATTTCAATTTTCGTTATATGAGAGGAGGTTCAAAAATTTGCCGAACCCGATCCAAAATTTTCATACCAATTTAGACTGCCGGAGTACTATTACTTAGCCACTTTTCTCGAGCAATTTAGAATTGCTCACAATTCTTTCTATTTAATGACTTTTGAAAAAAGAGCGGAGGGCGTCGAAGCAGAGGACCGGTCTAAACGATTTTCAATAGCTTTCTTCCTTTGGTTACGACACGTCAGTGCATCATATTTCATCGAATTATCTCCAAAATTGCGAGTTGTAGTTTGAACACAAATTTTGCAGACGGACAAACAAGCTTAGGTGGGTCTATCTTAAGCAATTCTGCGTGTAACATACCGCACAAACATAATATACCCGGTATCGCAAGTGGTGTAGTGTTTATTGTAGGCGATATTTTCACAGGAACGGCTTGCTATGTGAGAGGGAGTTAAAAAATTTCACCCATCCGATGCCAACATGAAGGCACCCTATACAATCCATTTGCAATAGGGTTCAACCTCAAGGCGAAACATATAACTATACCAGAATACAGATTGAACCCAAAAATACATATATAACAAATGCAAAGCTACGGATGGCGGTCAAGCATAAACCGATTGAGAAAATGATTCTGAATCGAACGGTATAATAAAAAGTGCATCCAGCTTAATGTAACTGAGACACAAGTGGTGTAGAGTATCACTCAAACGGTTGGCTTCTATTCTTATTCCATCGAAAATGAAGTAATTTATACAAAAATTGTGGATATCACTTTAATTAGTAAACATTGAAATAAGATCTGATAGATAAAAATTTTCAAAAGGAAGCAATTAGTCATATTGAAGAGTCTCCACAGTTTCGAGCTTACTTTTTTAGCCCTTATAGCTCTTTTCAAATAATTCTAAGCTGTCAAACTACTCAACTGCTTGTGTGCCGGTCTTGATCCATTAGTTGCGAAATTTCATCGACATTTTCAATGACTGCGAGGTACATCTTTGACATCGAAATTTCAAGAACAAAATTGAACAGACCGCTCCTGGGGCCCGCATTCATTCATTGCATCCTCATCGTACAGTTCACAAAAAATTAGAAAACTATCTGCACAAACAATGTTAATTAAAAGCTTATGCCCACGTTCGCTTGGGACAATCAAGTGAGTGTTACCCGATATATAGGCATCAACACCATCCCGCGAAAAAACCACTGAAAATATTCAATATGGCCTAATACATTGGTTCGTCAGGGATGAAATTTGAAAATAATAATATATATATATCTATATATATGTATATATGTGTACGTGTGTGTGTGTTTGTGTATGTTTCATTCGATTTTATAGAACATATAATAAAAATAATGAACTTTATATAAATGCTTGTATTGGCGCTTCAAAGGCAATAACTGTTGAGTCTTGACAGCATTTTGATTATGCAATAGCAAAAGGGAGGACGCCAAATGCACTTAATTGAAGAGAGAACTGAAAACTAACAGAATTAGGTTGGCTTGCCTTGCTACGTTATTAATTCTCCAGTCTGTTGCATTGTCATTCTAAAGCTGCTGGTATAAGTCCCGCAGCCAAGGACTTGTGGATGCAAAAGGAAGAGCCAATGGTATCTGCCCGCTAAAAAAGAGATATATGCTTAAGTTCGCAGTTTTCTGCACAGGCACAGAAATCCGACGATACGCAAACATAGAGAATGATGCGTCACATATTAAGCAATCAAATTAAGTACACACTTGCAATATGCTTAATATCCTTTCTTCTGACAAAAGTGACGATATATATATATATATATACATAGAAACTATATTAATGTAAAAAGTAGTTTTTGTCCTAAAGAATAATATAAGCTTGTGTGCGCTCAATATAAATTTTATATAAAGAAGAGAAATGAAAAGATTTATTAAAAAAAAAACTTAACTTAAAACTTTTTCTTCGTTTTTTCTTTTTTTTTTTTTTTTAAGATAAAGTGGAAGCGCGTGACAGCTTTTCTTAAAATAACCCGTTTAGACCATCCAAAATCAAGAGGTCAATAAGGTCTTATAAAGAGTATGGGATCTCTTCATTATATATCAAATCTAAATGCCTATCAGTCTCTTTGCAATGATCACTTCCGATGGCAAAAATGAAGATATTGACAGTAAATTTGAGGAAAGTATTGAAAATGGATTAAATCGCTTGAATGACAAGCCTACTCTCTCGTACTCTCTCGTACTCTCTCTCTCTCTCTCAATCTGATTGCAAAACCAAAAAAAAAAAAAAAACTAAGCGTAAAAAATTTCATCTATGGATTGTACGGATGATCCTACCGTGCATATATAAAAATGAGAAAATCTGACGCATCCATCTATATTATAGAGTATCGAAATTTCATTCGCTTCGAGTCTTTTTCAAAGGGTAAATTCAGCCCCAGCTTAATACAATTTTCTTACTTCTTTTCCTTTGGCTTCGCTTCGCTCGAGCCGCCTTTGATCATAATTTTTTCAACTAGAACAATAAAGCAAAAAAAAATTCTGAAAATCCGTATCAAGATCTAATAGTAGATTCGAATTTTCTTTTCTCTTTGTTTTTTTTTTTTTTTTTTGTTTGAAAAAATCGTTCGAAGATCGAAAGATTTGGAAATAAGCTGACGGTCATTACAAATCTTATTTCACGAGTGTAGTTAAAATTCCAAGTCAATCGAATAAGAATTGAAGAAGCCTATGATACGTTAAGTTAAGATCGAAAAACGAAGGGTATTCGTTTACAATTTCAAGAGTCATTGTTGAAGAGATTTTTGTTTTATCGCTAATCTGCGAAAGCTGCACCATTGCTCAACTCTTTTATAGGCATTGAAGGATGGTGTCTGAAATTTTTTCGCCATCTTGTTTTTTTTTTTTTTTCTTTTTCTTGACAACAACAACTATGTTCGGAAAATTGAATTTTTGGACAATTTAAAATTAGACAATGAAAAGGCAGTTAAGAGAGAGAGATGACACTGCTGCTACTATACCGTGCAATGTCTACAATTCCTTACAAATAGTAAGAGTAATAAAATTAGTGATATTATTAAAATCTTCATGTGCCGCCCAAAAAAAAATTAAATACAATTTTAATTTGATTTTGCTTAAGAAAAAGTCAAAAGATTAAAATCTATTTTTGTACGATCCGAAATGTAATTTCACGGCGCGTTCCCTACTATGATTACAAGTATTTTTTTGAAAAAAAAAAAAAAACCGTGAATAACCTAATCATTCAATGCTTTGAATGCTATCATCATAACCATGAATCTCCCCGAACAAAAACGTTTAGAGTCGCTATGAAAAACTACCATTGACTCTTCAACTTTATGGGAGAAATTTTTTTTTGCATTTGGTTAAAAAACATTGCATTCATTCCAAATATAAAGTCCGAATATTCTGAATTTAACAATCATTAATACACTTAAATATCTATATATATATATATATATATATATATATATATATATATATATATAT